CACGTTTTACCAAAACATGGTAGCTTGGGTGGGTGGGAGGTAGAAGGGCTTTGAAACTAAGGACTTTTAAGATAGTATATAAATCTGGAATAGCCTTTAAGTGGGTGACAGGGAGAAGATGGGTAGGGGTTGGATAGGGGTGGGAGGTAAGGGTGGTTATTGAGAAAAACACTGACTGATATAAATATCTTATAAATATCTTGTTTTGTGTGCGTTACGAGCACTTTTCATCTAGTTTGGATGAATCTTAATTTTTACATCTTTAGTTTATATCAACTGTCCAACCATTAGAAAAATGTACCATTTGAAAGAATTATTAACATGGGGTACCCCAGTATTCTTTCTGTGAAGCACTCCACTTTCATGTCAGAGTCCTGGTTCAATAATCTGATATCCTAATAGCTGTTAAATCTTTTGGAATTCATTTTCTAAATGTGAGAACTACTGTATAGAATAAAAGCTGTGTTTAAATATTTTTATTTGATTTATATTAAAATGTTTTATAATGTTAAAGATAAGAGTAAAAAAAATATTTTTTTTTTTTTTTGGATATCTAGGTGATGAACTTCCCCTAAGTGTTCGCATTTCTCATGAAAAACAGGATAAGCTACATAGTTGCTTGGAGCATCTTTTCAGCCAGGTATGATTGGGACGGCTATGGACATTTTTTCTGTAGACTAAACTGTTAGAAATCCCTTTTTCAGATGTGGAATCTGTGCCACCACCCGCTTCACCTCAGTCTCCACAATTAAAGATGGGGATAAAGATTCCTGCAGCCAACTAACGCAAAGGATTGTCGTGAATGTCCAATATTTTACAGTCCTTGGAAAATCATAAAGAGTTGCACAGACAGGAGTTATTCTTTTTATCGTTTGTTTCTTTGTGGGTTTTTAGAATCCCTCATGACATTTCTTGCTCAACTTTATTCCTCATTTCAAAAAGCACAAGATTGTCTTGGAGCGCATGTTGGTGTTTTATAATCCTAACGAATTTATATCTATAACCAAAATTTTTCATATCAAAGCTTTTACTAGCCTAAAAGGGATTTTGAATAATTTTTAGGGTTTTTAAAAAAATAACTAGAACTTTTACTCCTTTTGTGAAATAACATTTTGTATGAATATATGTAGGATAATAAGAAATGTCATTGCAAAAGTTATCAGGTGAGTTCATTCCAATATTTTATTTAAAGGTGGATTTCATAAGAATAACCAAATTTCAAAAGTAATTGTGGCTTTAAGAAAGTATTTTTTGCAAGATTTACTCTCCAAAGTGTCTATTATATATTCTGTAACTCTCAGAACCCTCTCTATTTTGACAGGTGGATGCGATTACCAATCTCCTAAAAGGGCAAGCTGTCGTGAGGGCCTTTGAGCAAACCAAGTACCTCACCCCAGGTCGAGGGTTACACGGTGAGGTTTAGAAAATAATTATTAGGAGCAATCGGGAAGCAAGAGCGGGAGACGGAGTGGCCATGAAGCCAAAGCACATATGAGAAGAGAAGTTCTGGTTGCTCGTGTTTCATAATTCACTTAATACTACTTTTATTTTTTATAAGTTGGAGAATATACATAAAAACATCAGTGTAGGACCTTTCAGGATTCTTGGTAGATTAACATGTTTAATGCCTATAGGGGCCAGTCTGAAGGGAAACGAGGTAATTGAAGAAACATTAAGTGTTGCCTTGCTTTGGCTGAAACCCATGTACTTGGTTGTTATCCCAGTGGAGGGAGTCGGGGTTCGGGAATTGGGGGGGGGGGCAACAGAGCAGCCAAACAGCACACCGTCTAGAGCTGCCACTTTCTGACCTCTAGTTTGAGATGTTGAAAGTATAGTTTTCACCTAAACTTGCTCCTTTGTTTAGACAGTTATAAAAAAATAATATGAAGGTTTGACTTTTTAGATTTAACACACTTTATCCTTTGATATATCTAAAGAAGCTACTGATATGACAATAATTTAGGACAATGGCAGTAAAAATGAGGATTCTCCAGCTTACAGGTTTGCTGTTCGGTAAATGGTTGAGAATTAAGGGCGATTTTTTGTGTGTGTTTGTTTAGAATTCCAGCAGGAAATGGAGCCAAAGCTGAGTTGTCCCAAAAGGTTAAGACTTCACATCAAGCAAGATCCTTGGAATCTGCCCAGCAGCGTCCGGAGTCTTGCTCAGAACATCAGAAAATTTGTCGAAGGTCAGGATGAAAAGCAAAGAACATCGCATTACATCAGGGATAATCATTAAAAAACCCATTAAAACCAAGAACTCAGTAATGCCCTGATTGCTTTTTGCGGTATTTTATGTTATGAGGAAAACAGAAAGGCTGTAAAGGATGAAGGAAGAAGATAGAAAGAAGTAATAAGGTCGCAGAACTTTGTAGAATATTCTCAATAAATTAAAGAAAGGCTCATACTTTGGAGAATATTCTCAATAAATTAAAGAAAGGCTCGTACTTATGAAGACAAACGGAACATGGAGAGAGTTTCATATTTTATAATATTACACAATATCAGAAACATTTCTAAAAGGTTCACAAAAGGCTTGAAGCTAACTTTTATGAAAGAGTCTAAAAAACTCATAGCGAATCTGAGAATCAGAATAATTACATACCTGGCATCATTTGTTTTTAAGTTGCTTCTTCAAAAGTGCTCATCTAAGTCGACAGTTATTAACTACCATGACGTCATTGTCTCAACACCCTATAATTGGTACAACCTGTAATTGGAGATGTATAACATTAAGATAACTCCAGTAAGTCTGATCGCACGTTGTTTAGGGTCAGAGTTATTAGCCAGAAAATTCTGAGAGTTTCCAAAATGATTATGGTGAAATAGAGGAAATGAGAATTTTATTTAATTTTTCAAAATGTCTTATTCAGTGATTTTCTACCCAATATGAGGCCATTGATTGGCAATATCTAAAGGACATTTTGGTTGTCATAGTTGTGGGTATGCTACTGGCATCTAGTGTGTGGAGTCCAGGATGCTCCTCAACTTTCTGTAGTACAGGACAGTTCCTCACAACCAAGAATTGTATGGCCCGGAATGTCAGTAGCACTAGGGTTGAGAAACCTGTACAATGAGTATTATGCCTATGTTTAAATTTTTATCCCATACTTATTTGTATGTCAGTTGGATGTGGTAAATAGTATTCAGCAAAATTACTGCATACCTCTAGTCACTACCATTATTTTAGGGTAAATCAGAAAGAGTTATATACTGTTAAAAGACAAAATTCGACTGAGTAAATTTGAAGACCTAATTGGCTTTATTAAGTGATTCGTGAATGAGGCAACATCCCATCCAGCAACTAAAAGGGGCTTTGAGGGGTCATGCAAATGGAAGGGTTTTATGGGAAGAAGGATGGACAAGGGAGCCATTGACAAAGGAGAAGAAACGGTTATATTTAGACCAGGGTGTCTTCTTCTGGCGGAAAGGGAATTGCAAGGGTTTTTATCATGCAGGTTGCCTCATCTTTCTGTGGGGGATGGAGAAGGGCCCACCTGACAGATGACCTTACTGGCGCATGACCAGAAAATTCGACTAGTTGATTAAGGGTGTATTTCCAGCAAAAGTTGAAACATCAAAGGCAACATAAATCTGTTTGGTATCATGGATTTTAGCACAAGTGATGCCAGTCTGGGCCTGTGGTTTTTCTCTTTAACAATACTTTCTTGACAAAAGGTGACTCTTAAACTTAACAAAGTCTGAGCCTGTCACTGAATCCCTTCGGGCCTCGGTTTCTTCATTTCTTTGGGCCTTGTTTCTTCATAAATGACAGAGATGGTTTAAATCTCTGTGGTAAATGAATCTTTTGCCTAGAAATATACTGAAATATAACAGCTTAGGTATTGTTTAGAGATCAATAGAGAAGTTTTTATAGTTAAGAAAAACTCCAAATAAATCACAGCAATTCTATTGTATGATGAAATCTTTTGTTCTTGACAGCTGGATTTCTTGGCTGGATTTTTATTTTATAGCTAAATATAATGGTTACTTGTGACACATTATAACATCATATATAAAACTCCCCCAAATAATGAATATCAAAAATGATAATTATATTTTTAAAAGCTGTTAGACTTAAGAAATTTACTTTACTGAGTAAAGGATATATTTCCTCTGAATAGATGCCCGTATCATAACACTTCTAAGAATTAAGATTCGTGAATCTAAGTGCAGTTGTTCTCATCATGAGTTGTCCTTTTTACACTATACTTATTTTAGAGTAAATGCAATATCGATTATGTACAGAGAATTGCTTAAGCCTTTTTTTGTTTTGTTTTCTTGAAGAGCTTTACCTTTAAGATATAAACTTCTTCTAATGCAGGATAAAAAAGCTTAGTTTTTAAAAAGGTGTTTATTTTAAGAATCTTGCATTTTCACCTTAAGTTCTGCTTTTACACCCTTAGTATTTCATATCAAAATAAGCAGTAATAGGAGTGGCAGCTGTGTATGTATGTTGATTGATTGATAGATACTGAATATGGACCAATGATGGTCACAGGAGCCCAAGAGCTAACTGATTGACTGCCGTCCATGTGCTGAGAATTCAACAGTCAATGGGATGGGGTGAGCTCTTTGCAGAATTTAAGTAGCCTCCCTGGTTGTGGGTTTCAGAGAGATGCAATTAACTCTTTGGATAAGAGCTATGATTGTCACCATGATTAGTGAGTCCTTAAAAAAAGGTTAATCGGTGGTTCAGTTCAATGGACTATCTGAGGAAGAGGCAAACTGCCAAGCCCTGGTAATGGGCGTGGTGTCTGGTCTACTGCATGGGACGCACACAGCAGCGTTGGGATCCTTGTAATCAGCTGGTTGCTATGTGGAGATACCTCTGAAGACAACTTGCTAGTTCAGCATGAAGTTACTCAATTCAACCTAATGTAATTTTTATTTCATTTCTCAAATTGTCTTTATGTTGGGAATGATCTAATGGAAGGTCAGGTCTTGCCTGGAAATTAATGCCATCTTGCCAGAATCTCAGTGTTTCCGTTTGTAGCTGGGATGACCCCATTCTGATGTCCCCGTAGAAGGGGGAAAATATATCTTTTTCCGTCTACTCTCCTGGATTTTCTGGCTGGGGGCCCTGTGAATTAGACTGACAAAAGGCAAATTAACAAGAGGAGAGCATATACGTTCATTTAATGTAAGTCTTACATGAGGCAGGAGCCTTTATTAAGGAATGAAGACCTAAAGAAATGGTTAGCCCTGAGAGGTTTTATCCGGGTTTGAGGAAGAGTGGAAAGTTGTGGGAACATGTGATAGGACAAGGGGTATGAGCTGAGGGCGGTAAACAGAGAAACCCAGCATGGTCTGTTCCTCTTGGCATCTTTGGAGACAGGGGTGCTCCCTACCCCCGGTGTGGGGAGGGAGCCTCTCACAGGAGGGTTTACGACCTGCTTCAGGAAAGAAGGGGAAGATCAGAGAGTCCTTGTTGTATCTGCCATTTCTCAGACTCCTTCTGCTTAAAATATGCGAAGTGGCATATGCGAAGTGCCATATTTTGGGGTAGAATGTCCTGAACTCTGTCATTCCCTTATTTCTGATTTCAAAATCTTATCGATATATGCCAAATAGGATATCAAAAATAATTCTATGATCTTTCCATAGGAAGGACTGTTACACTGCCATTTATAAATTATATCACTGTGTGCCGTTCATTCATAGCCTGCTAATCTGAGGGAAGAAGACAGCGAAAATAAAAATAGTGGACTAAATGAGGTGGGGGGCAGATTAATTATGTGGCGTCATTGGAGATCACGCCTGTCTCCTGCTTAATCTCTAAGCTAAATTATGGTCTCATTATCAGCCAACTGAAGGTATTTTTACTTGATTGGCACCCTGTCATATTGTGATTTATAATAAGAAATATATATTACTTTTGTCCCCTTTACTGGCACAGAGCTCCCTTGGAATGTTCTGTGCAGAGAGCTACAGAGGTAGCTCTTTTGTTATGTTAATGAAGCGATGTTTGGAAAGCCCCAAGGATGGGGGCTGGAATGCACGAGCGAGGACAAGGGGGACACCACCATGTGATCAGAGGACTGGAATTCATAGTCCCACCCCTGATCTCCTGGGAGGGGAGAGGGGCCAGAGATTCAGTTCGAGCACCAGTGTCCAGTGATTTAATCAATCATGCCTCTGAAATGAAACCTCCATAAAATCCCATAAGGAAGCGCGCTGAGAGCTTCCGGACCGGTGAATACTTGCAGGTGCTGGGAGAGTGGCATCTTCAGTGACTCTTGAGAGTGTTTCGTTTTCCAGTCTCACTTGTAAAATTTAACGGCCTCTTAAGTGTTTCCTGCATTTCTTTTAGGTTAATTTTGTTGCTCTGAGTATTGTGAGCCTGTATAGAATAGGATGCAACCTAACCTTTGTTATTTCTCGTACCCTTGGGCACGTAAAGGAACCCTGTAAGTTTTTGTGTTTCCCTAGTGCAAGTAAACCATCTGCCAGTTGGAAGTAAACAGACACATAGCTCATTGGACACGTAGCAATGAGTATGAATTTAATACACATCATTTATGAAACATTTGTGATTGGCCCTGTTTGGAGATGGGGTGGGAAGATGAGTATTTGGAAATAATTGGTATTTTTTTGTTCTTTAGGGCAGTATTTTTGACTAATAGATAGGAAAGAAAGACTATATATATTCTATATAATCTATATACTTAATCTATATAATTATCTATAACCTGTAATTCTAATATAGAATGCATAATATAACATATATTTTAATATATATACTTGTATGTAAAGATTACATATGTATATATAATATTTAAAAGTTTAAATAACTAAGAAAATACTGTTTGACAGTTTATTGACCAAAACTTTGATAGCTATAGAAGTTAAGAAAATAACAAGCAAGCTGTAGCAGCTGAGGATAACCTGCAAAGGTAGCGGGATTTGAATGGTGTTTCATAGGCTCATATAATTCAGATTTGGGAGAGATTTCAGGGTCTGGAGTAATTGATAGAATTTACATAGGCAGATAGAAAAGGATAGCATTTCAAGCGAATGGGATTTTATTATCTCACGTAATGAGATTGTGCTAATTCTAACTAAACAGTTAAAATGCGATGTTAGTGGCAGAAAAACACTGAATAATTTACTATTTTTTTTCTCTGCAGAGGTAAAGTGTAGGATACTCCTGGCACTTCTTGAATATTCAGGTAATATTTTCATTATTTTTACTATTTAAAATTAATGTGGCCCGTGACCTTTGACAATGCCTTTGACAAAATAGACAGACATATGATTCCTACCTTCTCTGAAGCCTTGCAAAGATAAAAAAAAATACTTAGTTTTAATAAAAACACGAAAACGTATACTCATATTCAATTACAAGTAGAAACATGAAAACATATACAAATGTATATTTATATAGAATATAACTTTATAAAGAGAAAGGAAGCAGGTTTTGGTAAAGTCAATTGTGCAGATGTGTTTTTTTGTGAAGCTGTCTGACTTTTGTATATGGACAGGATGTAGGTGGGCTCAGATTCAAGGGGTGGGAAATGGACTATACTTTTGATGGGAGGACTTTCGATCTCAAAATTACATTGCAAGTGCATGGACACAGAGAGGGGAGGAATTTGTGACCACTTTTACCATCTATCATACTTGGAAAATTTAAATGATGAATGAATGAATGAACCAAGTTCACCAAGAGGGCATTTTTGTTTGTTGGTTGGTTCCTAAGTTTCTTCTTCTTTTTTTTTTTTTAGTTTTACTAATAACTACAGAGTTGATGGACTTCATTTTTGTGTGTTTCATCAGGTCCTCACAACCACTCTGTGAGAATGTTATTATTTTCTTATAGTGTAAAGGGTGAAGAAATTAACATTCAGGAAGATTAATAATAACTAGTAAATGGAGTTCATTCAACACATATTTTTGAGCTTCCGGAAGATTAGGCATATAGATGCCTTAATCAACAGTAGATGGCAGATTTGAAATTAAAATTTAGTTATGCCAATTCCAGAAGCGGTCCTCAAGTGCATTGCTTTATTCATTAACGTTCAAGTGGCTGTTCTTGTAGATCCTTATTTTGATTTCTTTTTCTTTATTCCTGTTATAATTCTCTTTTTTCCTACTTTATTCACTCACTCTGAGTTCCTTCTTGTGTATAGGATGGCACCAGAACAAAATTACTCCATATTATTGGCCACAATTTAATTGAAAAGGGGAGGCTGTGTCCGCTAAATATTCTTCTTAACTCCCTTTTATGCCTACCTTCTTTTCTCTCTAATCTCTTCTTTGTTTATTTTGCTTTTCCCCGTACAATCTCAGAACGGTGACTGAGAATGCTTATGTCTAGAAACCATCTCATTCCTTTAGACTAGCTGGCTGACTATGGAGCTGGAGCTTTTAAAGCTGTTGAGATTCAATAAAGTGTTCATATTTTAAAATATGTTTGTAGAAGATGAGCATAAGTAGGCGCTTAAATATTGAAATGAAGCAGAAGCCCCTGACAGGTAAAAAAAAAAAATCTTTTTTTTTTTTAAAGTCTATTCCCACTACAAGAGAATTCTTACTCTGCATAAAGAATAAAGAAGCCGTCACAAAAAAGAAATACAACCTCTTGCCTTCTTCTTTTGCTAGAAGCTGGAAGCAGCTCTCGTGATTCTTGCTGTAGTTCTTATTGATAAAAATGAAGACTGAGAATAGCTTTGGAAAGGATGAAGACTTGTGAATTTTAAACAGATGCCTAATTAAAAGGAAAAGACAGATATGTTTTTGCCGGGAGTTATCTTATTTTGGCTTCTTTATCACGTTGTTCTCTCTTCGTTCAGCAATAAAACTGAGCACCCACGCCGTGCGGGCACCATGCTAGACGCTACAGAAAAGAAGCATCACTGTAATGCTCCAATTTCACGTTGCTACGTGTTCTAAATGTTTTTATCTCATTTATCTTTACTGCAGCTCTGAGAAGTAGGAATACCCCATTTTACATATAGGGATCTGATGCTTAGGATTATCTGGTTTAAAACTGATGGAAGGGGTGGACAAAAGCAGATGATAAGTCTCGAAAGTCTGTGAGCTTCACTCACATTGCATGCCACTTCCCCTGGCCTGTGCCGATTGTCCCTGGGGCTCACAAATCAGTAAACAAACTCTTACAATGCTAGGTTATTGGCCACCTAGCAGAAGGATGCCCCGGGCCTGTGGTGGCAGAAAGAAGTACACATTACTTCCTAAAGGAGAGGAGAAATGTCAGAGGGGAGATCATATTTTAAAGAGTTTCAGTAGTTCAGTGAGTTGACTCGACCAATGATTTAAAGTTTGCTGGTGGAGAAGGGTCCACAGCCACAGGGCCCATGGACAAAGGCGTGGGCTCTATGAGCGCTTGCAAGGGCATTTCCTGTTTCGGGGGTGCTCAGAGGTCCCGTGTTGCTCGGAGAGGCCTGTACCACCGCTAGGTGTTCTCACACCAACAGTGAGAAGGGGCCTGGGGTGAATGGAGGGGAGCGATGTGTGAGATGCTCTAAATGGAATTTGGGGAAAGATAGTGGAGTCCACTTCCTGCCACTCTGAGTTTTCTATCTTTGTTACTCACTGTGAGATGATAACACACCAAAAGCCACTTGAAAAGCTCTTAATACATAAAGTGCATTTTGAGGTCGATGTAAGCTAGTCATTCATTCTCTGTTGAAAATAGGACGGTGGCAATTGAAAAATCATCTCATGAAGGAATATGCGTTTATTATTACGTGTTTTTCATTTTGATTTAAGATTTAGATGGCAGTGTGGTCCAAGGGCATCTTGCATATCTACTCTGTCACTCTGTCATGAGCATCAACATGGCCGAGGCCTCAACTTGGACTTCTTCATACCCCCAGTAATTGATGCAATGTTTAATTCTCGTGGGGCATTTGGTGTTAAAAGTTTGAATTAATGAACAAATGCAACTTTTGTGTGATCTGTACTGATTTGATAATGAGGTTGAATGAGAATTTTAATTTGCCTTAAAATGCATTAGAATTCAGTAGCAGAGAGAAGGGTAGATATCCACGTATTCTTTTTTTAAAGTAAAAAAAAAAGAAGAAGAAATTTAAGAATTTTTTTCTCAGAAGCAATTTGGAGATGATTATTTCCACTGGCGGCAAAGTTACTAACCCTGCGATCTCATGTAAAGGTCACACTGAAACCAGGTCCTTCCCTGTGTAGACCTTAGCTTTCTATTCTTTATATAAGCAATTTCTTTATAGTTCAATTTTTATTGAGAAATTATTCTCAGGTTATAGGAGGGAGTATTCCTGCCGAAGCTACTGAAGTACTTTTTAAAAACTTCTCTAGATTTTCTGCTTTTCTATGAATCAACTGAAAGGCAAAGCAAGAATGTGTAACCTCAGCGATGAAGCCACACAATCTGAATTATCCTTCTCAGTCAGACTAAATCCAGGCATTTTAAGAAGTCAGAGCATGAGCTCATGCATTTTCATTTTGCTTAATTCATTTGTTTGTTAATTTCTTTCCTGGTTTATTATTTTCATTCAATAATTTAGTAAATATCTATTGAATATGGACACTCTTTTAGAAATCGTACACAACAAAATAGGTGTGTTGCTCTTTTCTTGAGAATTGGACAAAGTTCTTTCCCAGTTTAGCCATTTCATAGTTATCTGGAAAATGCTCTTTTCCATCCTTTAGAATGGGGCACATGGCATATAACTACTTAAGGAAAATGTCTAACATATGTTATTGGTTAAATTAATAAATTGAACCATGTGGGAATGCCATATTCAATCATTTTGACCTACTAAAACAGCAAGTTCTTATAGTTCAACCTAATAAATAAATATTTCATTATAAAATCTTTTTAATATTTAATTCTTTTCCTAATAAAATTTTCAAGAGTAGCTTTTTCTAATAGTGAAACTGAGTAACATGCAGCAATTACATTATGTGTACACATGCCTTTGATGGTTTTTAAAGGCAGACGTTCTGTGTTCTTGGTAAACAACTTAAAAATTACGCCTTTTTATCAATAAAGCAAGAACTCATCGCTGAATAAAAGCAGCATTTATATCTATGTTATGCACTGATATTGACAATGCTGCTTCATTTCAGAAGGTCGCGAGCCCTCAAAATGTTTGATACTCTTTTGGGAATATGATTATTTTTGCCTTTGTCGTTCTTCCAGTACAAGTGACTTTTCAGTGTTCATACTGTACGGCTTGGTGTTTATATTGTTTATGTAGTTTGCATGTACCCAACCGCCCAAAGAAGTTAACCCTTTGAGATCAGGGTCTCAGAGGCACAGCTCACAGTGGCAGTTCATAGGTAAATATGCCTTCGAAATGAGTCAGTCAGAAATCCAGTCAATTGCAGATTAAGAATCCTAGTAAAAAATCACTTTCTGCTAAAACTACAAATAAACTTACTTATTTCAAAGAAATATATCAGTTTATGAACTAGATATATTTATAGCTCATGAAGTTGCATAGGTAAATTCAGGAGATACAAATTTGCCTATTGTTACAAATGATTGGGCATCAATACTCCTTTCCGAAATACTTTTCACATTAATATTTCAGTAGGTTTAGCAGGTAATTTTTAAAAATTTAGTCTTAATAATACTGTATTTCACTTGCTGGCATAAATTGAAATATTGGACTTGGACTTCCCTATTGGAAAGTGTCATGCAACAAATGCAGATTGTGGACCATCGGAAAAAAAATATGGAAATAAATACAGCCTTATTTTTTTTTCTTGGGTTTTATGAAACAATTTGATGATTACAAAATAAAGTCACAATATCACCTAAGAAAAAATATTTTAATGTGTCTAACATTTTCTGGGGTTTAATGTTTTCTAAAAAGCCAACTTTCTAAAACGTACTTGCTTCTTAATAGAGCTCAAATTGACATTTTTCACATGGTGTGAGTTGAGTGAAAGGATGAAATAAGAGAAAACGTAAATGCTTGGTGAATCGGTTTAATTCGCTATGACGTTTCTCAAAACCATCTCTCTGTTCCCCCGGATCACAGACAGTGACCCACAGCTCCGAAGAGACATGGTTTTCTGCCAGAGTCTCGTGGCCACAGTCTGCGCCTTCTCGGAGCAGCTCATGGCGGCCTTAAACCAGATGTTTGACAACAGCAAGGAGAACGAGATGGAAACGTGGGAAGCCAGCAGACGGTGGCTGGACCAGATAGCGAACGCCGGCGTGCTCTTTCACTTTCAGTCGCTTCTGTCACCAAACCTGGTAAGGAATCGCAGCGCCCCCCACTGTCTGCGTCGACTGTGACAGACGTTGTAACACACTCCCAAGTAAGAAGTGGCTACGATGGTCTCAGCGGTCATTCGGCTACTTTAAAAGAATGTATATGTTCATGTGCGAACGTAGTTTTAATAGGTATCTAGAAGGTATTCCTGATTGTTATCTATTCTCAGTGGCCGCGAAAAGCCGAGAAAGCCTCCATCTGTATTAATTCTTGCATCCTTAAGCACCGACTGAGAAGGGCCATCAGAGGACCGAGTGTCTTTCTGCTGATTCCTTATTTCTATTCTAGAAGAAACAGCTTGCATGAAACCCAAGGTCTCCCTGAGGTTGATATTCTAGAGAATTCTTAATCGAGAACTCTGACAGCTTGCATGTCATACTGTCTGCCAGTCTGTTTAAAATTTGTGTGTGTTCCATGATTTTATTTCCGTCCTTTGTTCGAATGTTTGTCCTGTTTAATCTAAGAACGTTGCCTTAATTACCGTAGAATAGTCCATGGTTATGCATCGGTTTTCCACAGTGGGTATGAAGAAAGCCTCTCAAAATATTGATAAATAACACTGTAGTGAACTTAGAGTTTTTTCACATATACTTTCCATGATTCTGACAGTTGTCATAACATTTAAAGGCAAATCTTTACACATGACATGCCATTTCATTCATTAAAGTATACAGAGAATGTAGCTACCAAGTAACATGGCTGAGCTTTTAAACAAATACATATGAGTTTACACATTGAAATAAAGTTTTTCTTTGGTGACGTGGGGATAGAGAGGTAATCGCTGTACTGCACAGTCATAGAAGGTTCTGGAATGATAAGGCAAGGAAGTCCACCTCAGGGCACTTCAGAGAAACAATTGGATTCTTTTGAGAAGATTGTGTGCACTCCACGCGGGTGAGTGATTTCTTATTTGGTTGCTAATATACCAAATAAGAAAGATCTAATTAATGAAAAATTTGAAATAAGACCCTTTGGAAAAGTGTTTTAAAAAATAAATTTCATTAATCATTGCCTATCAAATAGAGATTACGTATAATAGGAAGCCCACTTCTGAACACATGGTAGGCATTAAATGTTTGTTGAATGAATGAATGAATGAATGAGGCTTCATATCTATTCTAGTCTTACTTTAAAACTGCTATTGTCTACTCAAGTGCTGGTACTTTAAACTTCATTTCATTTGAAATCCTGAAGCATGAGAGAAACATTTGTAATTCATATATCTGAGAAGTGACATAGCTAGATTATTTAATGAATCCTTAAAACTAAACGATAAAAAATTCAATTAAAAAGTGGGCAAAGGATTGAATAGATATTTCTTCAAAGAAGATATAAAATGGCCAAAAAACACATGAAAAGTTGATCAACATCATCAGCCATTGGGGAACTGCAACTCAAAACTACAAGGAGCTACTATGTCACCTGTGATGTGGATGGTGATAATACAGACAACAGCCAGTTTTGAGTGTTGGTGAGGTGATAGGAATGTAAAACAGTGTAGCCATTTTGGGAAACAGTCTAACAGTTCCTCGAAATGTTAAACAGAATTTCCATATTACCCAGAAATTCTACTCCTAGGTAATGTCCAAGAGAAACAAAAATTTATATTCACTCAAAAACTTGTACACAAATGTTCCTAGCAAGATTATTCATAATAACTAAAAGGTGGAAACAACCCAAAAGCCGTGAACTGATGAGCAGATAAACAAGTTGTGGTATATCCATGCAGTAGAATATTATTCAGCAATAGAAAGGAACGAAGTGCTGACACATGCTACAACATGGGCGGATGTTGAAAACGTAATGCTACGTGAAATAAGCCAGTTACAAAAGACCACATGTTGTTTGATTCCATCATTATATAATGTGTGAATAGGCAAATATCAGAGATGGAAAGTAGACTGCGGGTTGCCTGAGGCTAGCCTTACACTTTAAATGGGTGAATTTTAAAGTATGTGCATTATATCTCAAGAAAACTGTCTTTAAATTGGTCTTAGGAAACAAGTTTATGAACAAGCCATGCTATAAGATTGATTAAAAAAAAAAAAAAATGATAAAAAAATCCAAAGCTGCTAAAACAAAAATCAAAGAAACCCATAATCTTTCCGCCTCTGAAACAAGAGCATAGCAACCTCCTAGCAGTGCGAAGGGCTCTCAGGCACTGGCGGTCTGTGTGTCCCGAGCTCTGAGCATGGTCGTGGTCACTTAGGTTTCGCTTTAGCCGTATCTGCTGGAGCATCGTGGCTGGCCCTTCAGCGATCAGAGGCCAGCCTGTTTGGGACAGTCCTTCCTCTGCGTATTCCTCTCATCTGGAAAAATGCTGATTCTTCAATCCTGTCCTTTCAATTCCAGATTCATGTATTTTTCTACTGCTTCAAAGGACTTAAAAAAAAAAAATAACGGTTTGGTAAACATTAATCCAGCACTTACTGTGTACCATACCCTATATTAAGCACCAAACCAAGGTGCAAAGATGAAGATTCTGTTAACCTTTTGGTTTCCGTGCTGCCCTTTTTGGGAACCTGGAATGGCCTTAGTGATTGTTTTTCACACAATGGAAATTCTTTATCATTCCTTCATCCTCTACTAATGCTTCCCCATACTCTGACTATAAGCTCACAGCAGCTTTATAAACTGTGTTGAAAGCATGTCGAAATTATTGTTTAAAAGGATCATTGACATTCTTAAGGAAGCAAACGTTACCTTTAATAGATAAGCTGTGTATGATAAGGCTAATTATTCTTTCATGAGGAAATTAGTAAATGCCTCTAAATAGTGCACTAAACTGCTCACAGGAAGGCCAGGATCTAGCACTTGAAAGATGATGTTGCTGAAACATGCACCAGACTCGTTACCACGTCTGGGCCTACCTGCCTCAGCTTAAAAAAAAAAACATGCTATAAGAATGAAGCAAACGATTAAAAACAAATCAGATCTCATAGTCACAAGATTCTAAGTTAAGGCCCCATAAAGTCGAGTGAGATAAAAATGATTCTTGTCCCCAAGCTCTTTGAAAGAAAAATCATTACATACATGCAAATTGCTTTCATCACAGTTCTAATAAATTGCAAGATGAATGACGAATAGGCTATCTTAGTGTAACATAGAGTGACCGTTATTTACTGTGGCTTTTTAATAAAACAACATTTTTTCCTTTCAGCTGTTACATTTATAAGATTATAGAAATTTAGAGGCAAATAACATGCTTTTTGTACATATTTATTTGTAAATAATAAGCAAAATCAATATGATTAGAATCTAGCTATACAATAGACTGAAAAGTCATATGAACCATTTAGATGGTAGAGAAAAGGAAAAGTATAAAACTATAAAAGAAACAACTTTGAGAGATATATTGATTTCGTTTTAGGTAGTACATTCTTAGTTAAGTGTTGATAATTTGGTTTGTATGTGAATAAAACATAAGTGAAGCTAGTTTGGGCTGGAGATGTTTTGTTGTGTAATGTTATGTTATGTTCTATGAAAACCTATTATATCATGTATTGTTTTCCTTTCTTTCCAGACAGATGAACAAGCCATGCTCGAAGATACACTGGTTGCACTCTTCGATTTAGAAAAGGTTTCTTTTTTCTTTAGACCATCCGAAGAGGAACCACTGGTTGCTAGTAAGTAGTTACAGGTTTCAGGGAGTGGTTTTCTAGAATTTCTTTGGCATCAAACAACAACATATGATGATAATTTGATATTACTATATTTAATGAGATATTTAATAAGTATAAATTGTCTTATATAAAATATCATACTTAGGCCAAAATAATTAATCGTAGCCAATTTGAAAGTGATAGAAAGTATATATCATTTAAATCTACAGATAATTCTAAACTTTCATTTTGATCTATTAGTTTGGCTTCAAAAACTTTTTTTGAGTGTGTGCATCAAATTTTGGGCTAGTCGAGATTTTCTTTATTTCTTTCTTTTATTGTGGTAAAACATACATACCATAAAATTTATCATTTGACCAATTTTCAGTATGGAATTCGTGGCATTAAGTGCAGTCACAATGCTGTGCAGCATTTCCAACATCCATATCCAGAAATTTTCATCCTCCCAAACAGAAACGCCAAACTCATCAAACAATGAGTCACCATTTCCCCCTCCTCCGGTGCCTAGTACCTTCTGTTCGACTTTCTGTCTCTATGACTTTTTCTATGCTAGGTACCGCATGTAAGTAGGATCATAGAATATGTGTCCTTTCTGCTGCTATTTTCATGTTATATTTTACATATTTATATAATATAATATATATTATACTATATATTACATATATATATTACATATATATATATATAAAAGGACTGCCCTAATGTTTCTGGCTGTGTGGATAAATTCTGTAGCCTCTAAAACTTTTTCTCAAATATATAACAATTACATAGCAAAATTGACTGAACTGAGTTTGCACTGCTCGTCTTCAATTGATCATGTCGAATGTGTTAGCAGGCAATGAAAACAAGGTTTCAGAGCCAAGAAAAAACAGAGCCCGACGTTATGTTCACATTGTATAGAATTTGGATCTAAACCAGTTGAGAAAGACGTCATAATTGTTTGATCTGACAATAATTGATAAAATTTATAATTTAATTCTGAAGGAGTAGTCTACATTGTTTTCCTAACCTAAAAATGAAATGAAAATTATTTCATCTGTGTCAAAATTTAATATGTACAAATATAATCACAGTAACTATCTTGATTCATTTGTTTATTCTGTACAATATCCAAGATTGAAAACCTTTTCCCATCTTGTTCATTATTGTATCTCCGGCACCCAAGTGCCTAGAACAAAAAGAGGCAATGTTATTTTTTGAAGGAAATGAATGAACAAGTATCAATGTATACTCTGCCACAGGCAAAATGGTTTTATGCTTATAAAAGAAGGAAAAAGAAACTGAGTGTGAAGAATGAAGGAGTGAATTTCGACAGAGTATAGTTGTATGTTGTTGCAAAGACAAAGAAGTTATGTCATGCATTGAATTGAGAATTGAAAAGTATTCCTTCGATTTAGCAATTTGCCGTCATGAAACCTAACAAAGACAGTAATTTGGAAGTATCCAATCAGAGAAATAGCAATACCTAGGGTTTCATTTTTATATCTTTTAGTTTCTACAAGTTATCATCATTTACCATTTCAACATTGTCATAAATACCTTTAAAATATATCTGTTAATCCAAGAATTCTTTTAGCGGTTTGTTATTTTTCTCTTTTGTTTTTTTGTAAGTGTGAGGCATTGTGTATTCTGATAGAAGATGTGAGCTTCTTTAGGGCTGGGAAAGATTCTTATTTATTTTTACATTTCCAATGTCTAGTACAATACATAGGGACTCAGTAAAGATTCATTTAATCCATGATATGATCTAATCATTTATTCATCAAAAATTTCTTAAATGCCTACTTATGGCCAAACACTATCCTTGCTGTTGGATACAGCAGAGAACTAAACAGACAGGTAGCCCTCACAGAGCTGATATTCAAGTGGGGAGAGGTAAAGAATAAGCAAGAAGAATGAGTTCATTTGATAATAAATTAGAATGAAATAATCTGAATGTATGAGGGAAATAGAAGAGAACAAACGATGAAAATGAAAGGTTCATTTTCAACCAGGTGAAAGGTTGCAAACGTTTAATAGCTGGTGAGAGAAGGTCCATGAAGGAGGAGAGCAAACAACTGAAGGGGTCCTGGGAGCGAGGTGTGCAGGCATTCAGGAGGGGGCGTTCCAGATCCTTTGGAACAGTAAGAGCAAGGACCAAGGTGGGAGCATGTGTGGCATCCTGTCAGGATAGCAAGGAGGCCTGTGTGGCTGCACTGGGGTGAGTGAGGAGAAAAGAGGATGATATGAGAAGGAAAAAGAGACCAGACCGTTGAAAGAACTTTGCCTTTCTCATTTAGCCCCTGAGCAGAGGGATGGCGCGATCTGGCTTACCCGCTAAAGGCTGCCTCAGACCGCCGTTGACCATCCCTGCCAGGGCAGAAGCAGAGAGACCAGTTAGGAAGCTGCATAGTCACCCAGATAAATGGTGATGGTGACTTGATATTGAGAGTAACTGTGGAGGTGGGGAAAGTGGTTGATTCTGTATTTACTAAATGATGAAGGTAGAGAGAATAGAATTTTATTGAAGTTTCACCTTCACTGACAAATAAGGGAGAATAAAAACATGAATGATAATGTTAGGAATATAGGTTATATTCAACGGAGAATTTGCCCGGGAAAGTGGATTATTTGATAAAGATAATATTTTTGAACAAATCGTATGGTCTTCTGTGGGCATGTGTAAAATAGAATATATTTTCATTTACTTGAACAGTGTACGCACACTTTTGCTGAAGGTAGAGAACCTCTATTTTCACAATATAACCTAATATTTTTTCTTTTAAATTTGCCTGAGGAACTATAAGCTCACAGAGGTACTGTTTTCCATGGTTCAAATATGACATTCCTGGTGAATGGTCTGTTAAGGAAGTAAGAGAGGAACCATATTATAACTTTGATAAAATATTTACTTATTGCATATCCACCCCAAGAGATTTAACATTGGCATATTGAAAGATGTATTAAATACTGAAGATAATTAAGACCATGTAAGCAATATTAGTACGTAAGTATAGACGAACCTATGACAAACACAAAAACTGTGATATGCATTTGGCAATACGTTTTTATATACTTCCTCAAAGCATAACCTCAGCTTCCAAAAATAGTTCCCCAGTGAAAGCTCTGTCTCAATGCTACACAACGAGATATTCCAAAGAAATTAAAATAGTGATGATAGGGATATAGTTGTCATTTTAAGTTGATTCAGGAAAGAAGAGAATTGTTCAGTACCCAGCATCATCACGTTTTATTTAAGTGGGGTAAGAAAACTAGGGCTTTACCATTAACGGCATGTGATTTGATCTTTTTATAAGCATACGAGCGGAGGAGTCAGATCGCCTAATTAATTTGCGTCACTGTAATGAAAACTAGTTGTCTCTGAGGGAAGGACTGTGTACAGAGGGGTGGAAGCATGAAGACACAGGAGAAGAAAGAGAACACTGACCTTGACTCTTCGTTCACATCCTGGCTTTCATCTTCAAACACGAGAATCTTCGCTTTCCCTGATTCACAGGGTTACGAGGTTTCAAGAAGATAATGTATTTGAAAGTCTCTAACATTATATCAGGCTCATGGTAGTATTCAGTAAATATTTGAATCCATCCTCCTCACTTAATTACTTTGCCTTCTTTTTAAAAAGCTATATTCAGCATTACTCAGTCTTATTTTTACCCATTAAAGAATAATGAGATTCTGAAGAAATATGGCAAGCCAAGCAAGTAGAACTCAGATGTCTGAGTCGAAGGTATTTTATTAATCATCCTTAAATATAGATAACATGCTAACTGCTGAACTAAATTCTAGGGAGATAATGGTGATAAATAATATAAAGTCTCTGTTGGCGTGGGGCTTGGAGACCAGTGAGGAACGATTTATGTTCATGGAGAATATAATGATGACAGATTTCCCCCTTTTTAATGGTGATACAGGTAATTTTATAGTATTCATTAGGAAAATGAATCCTTCGAGCCTCTACTCTTTCCGTATGGGCCAGGCATTGTGCCTGGAACTGTGGATGCCATGGCGAGTAAGACACCTGTCCCTGTCTTCATGGAGTTCACGGCCTAGTTGGGAGTTGGCAAATAAGGAATCAACGACAAAGACAATTAAGGCCACGATCAATCCTATGCCAAAAATGAGCACTACATAAAGAATAAGAGTGAAGTGGACCTTTAAGGGGTCTCCAGGGAAGGTCTCTCAGTAGAAGTAGCCTTTAAGCTGAAATCTGAAGGACAAGACAGAGGGTCAAGGAAGAGCAATTCAGGCAAAGGGAACAGACAACTTCTTAGTCAAAGGCTTGCTTTGAGACTCGCTGACCCATTCCATGACGGGAGGCTGTGTTTAAAGGGATGGGATCTCACCATCAAAACTTCTCTCTTGGATGAATCCCTCAGAAGGGTGGAACCAGAGACCCTTTCTTTATGCAATAATGTCCTTGAAGCTTTTAGTCATTGTGTAGTTCTAATCATCAAGTTTATTTTTCATGGTTGATAACCTTCCACAAGTAAAAGGAAGCAGTTTTCAACTCCACATTATTATGTACTTTTCAGGTGCACCAAATACTTTGAAATAGGTTTCCATTCTTTTATGTAGGACTCTCAGTTTTAAACTTCATTTTAAATTTAACGTACTTCATAATTTTCAGTCTTCTTCCGTTTCTTAATTCTTGGTATAGCATCTTTATTTCTTCTTTGTTAGTTCTATAATAGGGAACTGGACCGCTACAATATTATTTTCCTTTCAATAACATTATTTATTTGGCAACACAGATATTGGCTACCTTGGTGCCAAAGAGTAAAGGGATATAATTTAACAAAACTTAAAATAGATATAAGAGACATTGTATGAAAAGGGAAACGAACTAGAAGATACCAATATTTAGTATGTAGAAATCTATGTTTTCTTTAATGTCCATGCATCTTTTTTCTTTACTTTAGAACCAATCATTGAAATGTAGTTAATTTCCAGCTCTTCAACTGAGAAATTTATTTATTCTTTTTCCTAAACCAAACTCGGTCTTCTCTCTTAAAAAAAAAGAAACAAAAATAAAATTAGCATCATTAATATATGCCTAAAAGATACTTGTAGTGGTGCTACAATGCCTCTCTTGATATACAGAATTAGATACATTTAATAAGAAATCTGGAATCTGTTATCAATGATACTTAACCTTGAACTCTCCTTCTATATACAGTTTTATTTCAAGAAGCAGGTTAGAAATAATAAATATTGAGTCAAGAACATGTATTAAATGCCTACTAGATTTTGGGTTTAATCTTTAACTGGTTAATGTGACTATTTGGTTAATGTGACTATTCTAGCTTTTGAGAAAGATTTTACGTTGTCTTTCAATTATGTGAAAATTATTTGTTGTGGATAAGCATCATAAAATGAAGAAGACTTATGATAGCACTGAGATACACTCCTGCAGCATTTTAGCTTTTTGAGTTATTTGGTTTTTTTCTTTTTTTCTTTCTTTCTTTCTTTCTTTCTTTTTTGAGTAATTAGATTTAAGATTTGAAAACAGCTAAAAGAATTTGGACAGATGATTTCTGATGACTTGGGCAGCAGCTGACGTAATCCATTTCTGATCTGGGGCTTAGGGAATGGAACTTGCAGAGCCTGTGCTGACGCTGACCAAGGTTGCTCTCTGCTCAGTTGCTTGCACACCACTTACGCGGTATACCCCATGGACTCGTTTTGACTAAAATATGAATGAGGCAGAGGCCTTGGGAGGTTGTGATTTCAAACCACGTGGAACTAAACTCTCATTTAGTTAAGTGAGGCATCTGGTGTGTCAAAGTGTAACAAAATTGCCTCTTACAGAATTTTATATACAGTATAGTAATAAATCTGTTGCTTTAGCTAGTGAATCTGATTTATATTCTTTCACTGACCAGCCCTGTAAGTGTGCCTAACCTGAACTCGATGTACACGGATACTTTTAAGATATTAGTTTCTAGTAATTTTCAGGATTCTTTTCAAAGGTTAACAAATATACCATATAATGTGACCTGATTGTAGGAAGTAATGTAACATTAAATGTCATTTTAGATGTTCCTCTTACGTATCAAGTGGAGGGAACCCGACAAGCTCTGAAGGTTTACTTCTACATTGATACTTACCACTTTGAACAGCTGCCTCAACGGTTGAAAAATGGAGGAGGCTTCAAAATTCATCCTGTTCTTTTTGCACAAGGTAAACTGCTTCTCTTTTTATGCTTTACATACTTAAACTATTTTATCGTGATCAGTTTTCAAAAATAAGTTTAATTGTAACCATCATTATTTTTTTTATTAATTCAAAAATTCTTGCTTAGTATCTACGTAATGTATTTACTTCTGGGAATGTTTATTAAGGAAAGAATCACATATGGTTTCAATATTTATCAGATAGGATTACAGCATTATTTATAATGGAGAAACAAGACCCAAGTGGTTGAAATACATAAAGATAAATTAATTTGGCTTATACATGATAGTAGGGCCATTAAAATTGTATAGTTAAAAATATTTCATGAGATGGAAAAAGTTTTGGCAATATATACATGCAGATTACAAAAAATAATTTATATTATAGTCTCAATTATATCATACATATACGTATGATTACACGTATGTAAAATGTTTTTAATACATTTGCGTGATTAATCATAATTTTTTATTCTGAGTTTTTCTTCATTGTGTCTATTTTTGTCAATAAAAATATATTCTTTTTGTAAATAAAAAAGTTTTTTGGCAATGAACAATGAGTGTCAACTGCAGAAGAAATTAAGATTAACAAGATTTTTGCAGTGAACTGGTTTTTAAGGGAATGTTCTGGATCTTTATTATTATTATTATTATTTGGGGTCATAAGTACTGCCTAAAAAAGACCAGAGGCCAGATTATTGTTTAGTTTCCTCTAGTCTATGATTTTTTTTTCTTTTTTTAATTCACATTGTGGTCACAAGATTATATCAACTTTTCTGAGTGGTATCATAGAGCATTCTATATTTTCTTCTTTTGAGTTTTCAAGACCTGCATTGGTTTTGCTGCGGAATTTTTATTTTCTGATGAAAAATGAGAAGAGTAGAGGAATAAAATTAACTGAAGAACAGACAGGCATATGAAATTTAAATTCACTACCAAATGAAAATTCTGCTTGTACCGCATGCATGTTATTTTAAATCTAAAAGATAGATTGCCTTTCCTCCACCTGCCGTCATTTAAAAACAATGACTACCTCTAACAGATTCTTGGCAAGAATACACATTTAAGCAGAGGAAAGTTTCAGTGAAGTTATTAAAAGGTATAGGAGTTATTAAAAGGTATTTTCATTTTCTTTGGAGGATGGTAGTACAGTCCATAAGATAATGCAAGATTCTTCTGTAATGACAAGGAATGAAAAAGAAAAAGAAACAGAGCAAAAATAGATGTTTGGAGCTATGTTAGGAGAATAGTTTAGTCTAAAAAATGTTAAAAGCCATCACAGAGACATGGTTTTAGGAGATGGGGAAGGACATTTGTCTGGAATGTTAACTTTTATGGGTTTAACCAGAGCTTACAGTTGTTAAAGACTCTTCATTTCTTTCCCTTTATTTCTCTTTTTAAAAATTCTGCCTTTGAAATTATTACTGAGATGACAGATGGCATTAAGCATCTTTTCTTTAAAAAAAAATTATTACATTTGTGACACATCAGCCAGAAATAGCTGAATATTCATACCCAGCAGCAAATGTGCATAGGAGAAAGATTGCTTTGCAAGTAACCTCTATTTTGCAATTGTGGCTAAAACGAATTTAAAAAGAATCCCTAAATATATATTATTTCAGTGAGTACAATATCGTTTTTAAACTGTAATTTAATGAGACACTACAGCAAACATTAGGTTTTAGTATTCACACAGCAGTAAAATACAAGAAATGAGTTGAATAAACAATAGTGGAAATACTACAGCAGTTGAGATCACAGATAGATAAAGAAGACCAGAAAACAGTTTGTCTCTTTAAATCCTGTCCTTGAGAAGGTCGTTTATTTAAAGGGCTTGCAGAAGTTCCACTGCGTTCATAAAATTCCCACGTAACTCAGTATTCATCAGCTTGAGAGAAGCACAGGAAATGCAGCCCTAGCTTGAGTCAAGATTACCATCTGGTAATTACAAGTGGTGGTAACAAGAGGAGATTCCAAATGGGGTCTATGCTGGGGAGTCGGGTTTTTTTGCAGGGTTTTAGTTTCTCGTGTACCTGCATACACGGGTCTTTGCTAGCAAAGAAAAAATAGAAAAATTAGGTGAGTTTGAAAACTCCCTGGGAAATGCATTAAAGTCGGCCCTCTGAAAGTTGTCTGTGGTGCCACATACGTAGGACGGGAAGCAAATGTACTGCCTTCTTCCCACTTTTCTTGCCTTATTGGACCCTGGACAGAGGAGGGGACACTCCTTGATGGGGCACCCTGCAGAGATGGGACCCACTGTTAGATTAGGAATTCCAGAAGTGGAAGTGAGTAGGGGAATGAATATCGTTAAAGGCCAGAGCTGCAGGGAACAGGAATCTAGACAGACAAAACAGTGATACAGATTTTTAAGGTTTTAAGGAACACAGAAACAACCAGACAGGACAAAGCATAACCAAAATGCTAGAAGGTGAAGATCACGCTAAAGCAGTCTCTATATGTACTTCCTACAGGTCAGGGAATTAATTCCGTCGAGATTCCAGAGCTCTTGGTAAAATAAAGCAAGTACCTATAAACTGGGTGAAAATGGGAATACAAGGAAGACAGATACTCAGGGTCATTTCCTCCGCCCACTCCCACTGGCTGGTCTTCACACCGGCTCTCGGTGTTTCTCCATACTGGCTGCGTATTAATCATCTTGTGTGTAGGGGGAGAGGTTTAGAAAATACCCACGCTTGGTCCCACTCCACACCAATTTGGTCAGAATCTCTGGGAGATTCCAGTACATTTTAGAAGCTTTCCAGGTGATTCTAACACCCACTGGGAGTGAGAAAGCACAGGTCCATGTGGATTATGAAATGCCGTGCAATTATACAGTTAAGAACTGCCGAATTGGATTCTGGGGTGTGGAGGTGGGGCCTTTTTGCTTCTGCCCTGGAGGTCATTGGGATGCCAGCTGCCCCTAGAGAGGATGAGATTTGGGTAGGACAGTTTTCTCCAGCAAAGGCAGAAGATGCCCTGGAGAGCTAACAGCTGAGGGACGTGCTCCCGCGATCACAGCAGCTGGACCATGAGCCTGTCATTTCTGAAAGGGGATCTGAGCGAGCGACTCTAAAAGCATCCGCGATGGTCCACAGCTCGCACCCTCAGGTCCATTGTTCTCTGTAAGGACTGGGAGCGTCTCCTTCACGTAGTCTTCTGATGGGCCTCCCTTCCCGGGGTCATAATGTAGGAGAAACACATTAATAAGACGAGCTATAGCCCTTGTTGCTACAGCTGGTCTTGGCTGCAGTAGAGTCTCATTTCCCTCTTCTGCTATCCATTTAGCAGATTAGCCTTTCTCTCTGCCTTTACCTCTGCTGGTCACCTTAGCATGACTACGACTTTTATCTCTGAGGGGCCTGATCCCCTGGTCACTATGCTTTGAAGGCCAGAGTTGGTACAGTCATCCATTCACCATCGAGTGAGCAAGAGAATGCCAACAGGGACCTGAGTGGATCCCCTGGGTGCCATACATGCTCTTTGTCCGTCAGCTGTGCCCAGATGGTGACTGCATTCCTTGGCTGCTGGTGCCTTGGGCACAAGGAGCCTCAGGTGCCCAGGTGGCAGCCATAGCTTATATTTTAGTGGGACTGCTGCTTTGTCTCCTAGGGAAAGTGTGTGCTCTTTGGGGGCCAGGACCTTTAAACCCACAGAGCCAGAGTTTCGGGGTGGAGAGCACACATTTCCCAGGTGAGACACGGAAGCTGTGTGTGTTAGTTTCCCAGGGCCCCCACAGCAAACGATCCCAAACTGGATGGCTTAAAACAACAGGAATTTGTTCTATCAGCATTCTGGAGACTAGAAGTCTGAAATCAAGATACCTGCAGGATGAAAATTGAGGAAACTAGATAAGAAAATGCTAAGGAGATGTCAAGCTTTGAAGTTTGGACATGCTTATATATTTCACCTACTTTTCTGAGAATAGAAATTTAATTTAGTAAAACACCATTCCATTTTCTTCTCTATATAACAAGAAATAACCAAGCTATTCACCCAAAATAAAGAATGTGGTTCTCTTTCCACTTCTCTGCCATACAAAGTTTACTGTTTAAATATAGAATTGATCTTTTTTTGTTCATTTCCCCACAACCCCATTCAGGCGCCATAAAATTTTGCTGAGACTCTTGGCAAAAAATAGACTCTTTTCCCTTTCTAAAGAACATTTTACATAATTGTGAATTTTAACTTTCGTTAATTTGGAAATGTCAAGAAATGGAATGAAAACGTTGGTATGTTTAATATTGTAACAAATTTTTAGAGCAGGACTGGACATTTCGGTCAAAGTTGAGCCATCAAAACTTTTATAGAAATTAGATCCCAGATATTTTCTTATTCTCGCCCACCTCCCACCCTTAGATGCCCTCTCGCCCCTCCCTAGAGTTCTCCTTCCAGTCTTTCTGGGCTTAAATCACAAACCGAAGTGTATTGGCCTGTACCCTCCTCGCAGTTCCCCCAACTTCCTGTTTGACTAAGCACGCTCGTGTATACTCTGTATCTCCGGGAAATTAGATAATGCCCGTAGGGCGCTGGGCATGTTGCCTAGTGCATAAAACACGTAAATGATAAGAGCAGTCATGGGCTCTCTTAATACTATAATTTAACTTAATTCTTTTCCAAGAACCGTAATTAGTAGCCACTCTTCTTTTCCATTTCACAAATGAGGACCCTAAAGATCTCAGATATTAATTAACACGCCCAAGGTCACACGACTACTGAAGAGTGGCAGTTGTGGTCTCACTCCAGTTCAAGGGCTTTCATTATTAGCTTCACAACTAGTCAGAGGAATCCACATGGAAGTGTGACGATTGGTAGACCGAATCCTCTTGGAATATTTGCTTTTCACAAATAAACATCCTGTTAATGGAAACGAATGTGACGTGTATCTGAGGATTGTTTCATCGGGAAGACTTTTTTTAATTTCTTGTGTGTGCTCAGGACCAGAACCTTACTGAACTAGAGCAAATATTCTAATTAATGCAGATGTCATAAGGAATAAACAAATTAACAATCCTTGAAATAAGCCCACAAACTTGATTTCCTGGACTGAAGTAAATATAGTAAGCTTTCTAATTTTCCACAAATGTTTTTCTCAATTATAAGCCATACTTCGGTTTTTAAAAATTTCGAATTTAGCAATATTCTAAAAATTTTGTTGTTTCTTTGATGCTCTAGAAAACTGAGTATGGTTTAGAAAATATAGCACAACTAAAATTAGCTGCGACTTTCCTATTTTTGCCCCCCAAAATAAGTTTCTATCAATTATTATTTAATTTTGAAATTATTGCATTTAGTAATTTTGAAAGAAGTTTGGCTTTTTAAAATCAATTTTGAAATAGTCTGCTGAAAATTGAGGCTCTTTAGTCATAATAATTTCAAGGAAAAATAATTTACGATGAATCAAATTAATTCCAAATTGGACCTATTGCCATTCCTGTTGCTGGCAGCTTCTCCCTGGGAAATCTTGACCTTCCATGTGTTTTCTGTCCTTTCCAAAAGGTCCAAAATGTCACCACATAAAGTTTAAAGGAAAAAAGAACACTTAACTAAAAATATTAGTAAGGAGAGAAATTTATATTATCAAAAGACTCAAAATTAATGGGAGTTACATATATATGTTTATGCTTGTTTATTTTGGACTAAACTAACCTTTGGGGTAGAGGTAATAGTCTAAGATTTCACTTTACCTATACTTCTTATTTATTACATTAATATTTCCTAATTTAATTGCAGCTACAAGAGAATATGAATATATGTGGAGAGTATATTCACATTCATATACATTAAAACAATTAATGTATAATGATTTTAATGTTTTTACTCTTGTGTGTGATAATACACAGTTCTGCCTCTCATACAAATGTATGTATATATGCAATATATGTGTGTATATATGTATATGTGCAATATATGTGTGTATATATGTATATGTGCAATATATGTGTGTATATATGTATATGTGTGTATATATGTATATATGCAATATATGTGTGTATATATGTATATGTGTGTATATATGTATATATGCAATATATGTGTGTATATATGTATATACTTTTGTGTGTTTATATATTAATAATATATATGAATTTTGAATTTAGCCTCATAAAGGATATATGCAAAATGTTTTAAAAATAGAAGACAGTTTAAATTAGAAATTACCTTTGCTTACTTAACAGATAGTCATCAAATGTTTAATATTTATTATGAGAGCAGAAGAATGATTTTCATTCATTTTTGGTTTGGTTAAAGATAGTTTCTTTAATAATTTCTTTAATAATTGATAAGATTACACTAAATGTGGAGAAATTGAGTTATAAAATCACATGAAAAGTATATTTACTTGTTTACACAGCACTGGAAAGCATGGAAGGATATTATTATCGAGACAATGTTTCAGTGGAAGAATTTCAAGCCCAAATAAATGCCGCCTCATTGGAAAAGGTCAAACAATACAACCAGAAACTCAGGTACCTGTTTCATTTTTTCAAAAAAAGTAAGTTTTTAAATTTTTTACAGGAGCTGAGAGTTTTTGACATTCATTATATTAAATGATTAATCATATTTATTTTGCTATAAAGTCCTCTATTTAGGGTTTAATATTTCAAATATTCTAATGGGTACATTTTTTCCAAATAAGGTAGAAAAAAGTGTTTGAAAATTTTCATTCTATTGTTTTAACTTCTGATGAAGATCAATAGATTAAATACGTAGTAGACTGCTTCCAGGGGAAAAAGGCATTGACGTTTTCTAGTAGTGCCCCTGGAAGGATCCACGGATTAGGGGTAAAATAATTTTCTTTATGTACATTGATCAGCTGGCACCCTCACACAGAGAGAAGAATGTGTTTAACATGGCAGATATGACAAAATGTACTTGGTATTGAAAAAATACCTACTTGCAAATACATATGATGTTAATGTTTTTATTTTGCTGGGTTTTTTTTCCTCTGTAAAAATAATGTTACTGGCACAATGATCAATGGCAGAGAAAATTAACCACAATAAATGGAAGGGAAATGTGTTATGATTCAGAAGCTTTAATTTTCAACAAATTATTGGCATGTGTATCTCCCTCTTATAAATTACTCTGCTAACAGATTATCTTTTAAAATTGCTAACAGATTACGGCTTTTTTTTTTAAATAGAAAACATTTTTGTCTACTTGAGCCTTAATAACTCCAAAATGTGTGTGTGTGTATGTGTGTGTGTGTGTGTAGATAGATAGATAGATAGATAGATAGATAGATAGATAGATAGATAGATAGATAGATAGATAGATAGATAGATAGATAGATAGATAGATAGATAGATAGATAGATAGATAGATATAGATATAGATATAGATTTTTTTTTGCTTTTGTCCACAATGTGGCTAAACTGTGAAGATAGTGAATTTCTAACTCCTGACACAGGAGGGTGATTATGACCAATGGGTAGGCTTTCTTTCACTAGGAATGCTTTGTCTCCCTACCCCTGCCTCACACAAACCTGTCCCTTTTCCTAGGTTTTTTACTTATTCCATTGTTTTATCATCCTATGAAGCTCTAGACTCAAAGCCCCCAGTATCTTTTTGATTCTCAGTTTCTCTTCCTCCTAAAATGTAGCCGGAGATCCTGAAGATTCTGCCTAAAATGCCTCCTAGGCTGCCCCAATTTCATTACCTTGTCTAGATCACTATATCTTTCACAGGAAAAAAAAGTTAATCTTAAATTCTTAAATAACATGTCTACTGACTAAGAAATACTACCTGAAGAAGCTAAAGTTCAATCTTGTGAAAATCTCTCAGTTAAGTACTGTATCCACGACAGAGAAGTTTTACCTTCATAACCGATAAAATATGTTCTTAGATTATTTATCAAATCAGGGTACAAAATTAAAGCATGAGTGTAGAACATGAGGGCCCTGAGAATGCACCCCTGGAGTTCAGTTTGGGAAAATAATTCTAGACCGTTACTGTAGCATCCTAACTAATCTGTCCCTAAGTACCAGTGTTGTTTCATCTACTCAGAATTTTCCTTCCAGACCATTTTAAACCAACGTCTTACCATGTCATTCTCTTGCACAAAGGATTTGGTGATTTTTATTGCCCCAAGAGGAGTCACAAGCTCCTTAGCATGGCAGTCAAGGTCATTCAGGACTTGACCCCAGTTTCTTTTCTCTGCCTTTGTACCGGCCATGTTCTACTCTCTTCATTTCTGATCGTGCTCTGCACTCTTCCTTCTTCCTTCATGTCTTACCCTTCGCTTAGCATCCGCCTCCTCTGTCTCCAACCATTTATAAAACTACTATTCATGTGATTCAGTGTCCAGCGCTAGTATAGTTTCCTTCGTAAAATCGTTTTCTTTTATTTATTTTTATTATTTTTTTATGGTGACATTGGTTAACGAAATCCAATAAATTTCAGCTGTATGTTTTCTTTTATTATTGGTGAGGACGAGACCTGGGCGTTAGGTTTTTTAGAAGTCCCCTAGGAGATTCTAGAATTGAAAACCAATTCCCTAGTTTCAGGAGTTCTCAAAGGGTGATCTCCAGACCAGCAGCATCAGTATCATTTGTAAATTTGTTAAAAATCTCATGGGTGGGCCCGGCAGTCTGTGTTGGAACAAGCCTTCCCAGTGAATCTCAGGCATACTCAAATTTCAGAACCATGGCCGTAGGCTAGGTGGATGTCAGATCTCTCTTCCAGTCTTTCTTTTTACTTTATTTATGGCTATTATGAAATCCGGTGTTTCTTCCTGATGGTACAGTTATGTGTACAGATTTCTCATCTTCTTTATTCTATTATAAGCTCTTTGAGATGAGGGATAAGTATATCTTGGTGTTTCCCACTGTGTTTATCAAAATATTTTGTGTAAGAAGCTCTCCATAAATGTATGTTCAGCTGCATTAGATTGTTTAGGCATAACTAGCAGAGAGAAGAGATGTGGCATAGCATTCATACATGGGTTTTATATACATAATGTATATTCGTATGCAACAGATACATGACAAGATGTTTAAGATTCTTTATGAGAAAAAAAAAAGCATGTGTATTAATTGCATGCTATCCTCTTCACATAAAAAAACATTCTAGTGTACCTCTCCTGGAAAAAGCATTTTTAAAGTACAGACTCCTCGGTACAAATCAGTCTTCCTTGTCAGTAATTACCTGCTATGCACCTTACTTGCTGTTAGATTTTCTTTGCACAGGAAAGCAATTTCCTTCCTCTTAGTGTCCAATAGTGCCTTCCCTTCCTGCTTATTTCTGGAATAAGGGTATTAATTTCTTCCTTAATTTTTTCTTTTACTTTGTAACCACAAATACAACAAAGTTACTCTTCGGCAATCTCTTCTTGGTTTTCGGATCCACAGACCAATGCTGACCGTTTCTTTAAAGGGGCTCTCACTGTCCAGCTTGCAAGTAGCCCTCAGGTGTCACTAGTTCCTCAGAGCCCATGAGCCTTTATAACACTTTTATTGAAAACCATTTCATCTTGCATGTTAAATTTGTTTATTTACTAAAAAGACCTCAGAAAAGGCCTTTTTTTATTTTACCTTAGCCTTACGACAAACAAACATAAGTTAATAAGCTATCAGAAAGCATAGTTTAGATTACAAGTTTCAGAAATCAAACTCAAACTGGTATATGAAAATAATGTGTTGGCTTATATAACAGGTATATCCAAGGGGTGAGGCTGCTTCAGGCACAGCTGGATCCAGGGGTATGGGTCTTCAGGATACTCTATCTTATCTATCTATCTATCTATCTATCTATCTATCTATCTATCTATCTACCTATCATCTATCTCTCTCTCTCTATCATCTATCATCATCTATCAGTATTTCCTTTCCTCTGTGTGTGCTTCATTTCAGACAGGGTTGTTTCATATTTGGGTAGAGATGGTCACTGTAGACCACTGCTGCACTCAGAGAAGAAGAGATGGCCTCCCCACACGCCCCACTGAGAGCTCCATCACAGGACCCAGGGACATACTCATTAGCCAGACCCAAGTCATGTGCCCATTCTTGGGTGAGCTCAACGCCACAGAAGACCAAAGGACTGTCACAGAAAGTTCAGGGTAAAGATGCTGGACAAGCAGAAACTGTGGATTCTACTCGAGTTGTAGAGATTTCTCCAGAGCAGCAAAGAGTAGGTAAAAATAATTTGCTTCTTAAAAAAAAAAGATAATGATAGCTTCATACTTGCCAATTTTTAAAAACATGTTAAGAGTCGGTAATAACTCTAAATGAGTTATGTGGATTATTTAATAAGCCAGTGAGTTCCATATGATCATTTCAATTTTAAGGGAAAGGTAGAAAAGTATACCCAGATAATAAGTAGTGAAACCCAGATTTAAATCAAAGACTTTTTTTTCTTTAAAGTCTGTACTTTTTGTACTATGATAGGCCATCTCAGTAAATGGAGTGAACATTATACAGTGAAAACAAATTCTCTTACTAAGTTTTGGAGTCAGGTTTAGCAGATGTCCCCAGCTGCTCTGGTTCTGCACTATCAGTCAGTCATTTATTCGGTGTTCATGAAGTTTCCATTCTCATGAGTCTGGGAAAGACAATAAATAAAGAAATCTATAAATGAAGTATTGCAGATAGTGAAAAATACAATGAAGAAAATTTAAAACGAGTTGCTATACTAGAAGGTTCATCGTTTGTTTAGAGTGGGTAGTTAGGGATGACTTAACTGTTAGGTGGTACTCGAACATCAGCCTGAATCACAAGGAGACGGCCTTGCCAAAATCTGGGGGAAGATCTCTCCCAAAACAGTGAATTGATGTGTACAGATCTTGAGAATAAGCTTGAGGAAGACAAGGAAGGCCAGGGGAATTCGCATGCGTTGAGAAGGGTGATATGTTTTGAGAAGTATATAGGACTGTAGGCCACTATAGGGGGTTAGATTTTATTGTAAGTAGGATGCAGAAGCCACTGGGAAGTTTTACGTAATTTCTGCTGCCCAATTTGTATCTCATGTTTCTATTGCAAATGATTTTTTAAATGGTTAGAGTTTTCACGGGGCGGTCATGAATGAAGCGAGCTGGCTGGTCTGCCCACCCCTCGCCCAGTCTCCGTGGGAATATGGACCCCGCAGTGCCCCTGGGGCATCCTTGCCACTTGCATCAGAGCCGCGACACTGGACGCCCTGGTTTAGTTCTTACCCTCAGTAAACAAGGTTAAGCCAGAAGAAATATTTAACAGCTATGTCTAAAGATACCCTCCTGTGCCAAGTCAGATATAATTCTTGATTAAGAAATAACAGCATATAAAGTGTTTAACTCAGACTCTAACCAAGAAATTCAGGGCATTTTCATTCCCTACCTTCACCATCCTCACGTCGTTGTACACTCCGTTTTTCTGCCTGAGGCTTTTCCTTTTTATTCCCTCTGGCTGTGAGCCACCATTCCCATTAGCCTTGTTTTTTCCTGCCCTACATAAAGGTAATTTATCGTTACCAAACTCTTTCATTTTAATGCATC